AGAGCTAGGGGCACCTGGGTGGCTCAGTCAGTTGAGGGTCCAACTTCCGCCCAGGTCATGATCTCGCAGTTGACAAGTTCGAGCCCCGCATCAGGCTCTGTGCTGAGAGCTCAGAGCCTGGAACCTGCTTCAGATTCTGTGTCTCCCTTTCTCTCTCTGCCCCTCACTAGCTCGTGCTGTGTCTATCTCTCAAAAATAAATAAAAACATTAAAAAGAGAGAGAGAGGGGCGCCTGGGTGGCTCAGTCGGTTAAGCATCCGACTTCGGCTCAGGTCATGAGCTCATGGTCCGTGAGTTCGAGCCCCACGTCGGGCTCTGTGCTGACAGCTCAGAGCCTGGAGCCTGTTTCAGATTCTGTGTCTCCCTCTCTCTCTGCCCCTCCCCTGTTCATGCTCTGTCTCTCTCTGTCTCAAAAATAAATAAACGTTAAAAAAATTTAAAAAAAAAAAAAGAGAGAGAGAGAGAGAGACTCCATGTTGGGTTGGGGAGAACCCCATGTGGGATGGGAACACAAGTTCCATCGTGTTTTGTATAGCACAAACCCCTAACTAGCAAGTGAGGTCCATAGATCATCACCCCACTTCATTAAGTGAGAGGCTTCAATTTTCACTTCCCCAGTTGTCTTTTTGTTCACTGTCTACAAAATGATCAGCCCATGCCCTTAAGGTTTTTGCTGTGGAGTTAAGGAGACAGTATTTCAACAGAATTGATGCCATATGGAAAATCCCAGGTTAGCTTCTATACAAGTGCAAAATAAAATATTCAAAACAGATGAGATGCTTGCAATGGCTGTAGGAACACAGGCTTTGGTGTTAAACAGTCCCAAGTTGGAATGTGATCTTTCCTACTTAGAAGATGCAAAGACCTGGTCAAGTCTGACTCCTTCTGAGCCTCCATATCCCCAACCGTAAATGAGACTAATAATACAGCACTTGCTTCGTCGTTATGAGGATTGAATGGCACGAATGGGAAGCATGCAGCAACTCTGGCACAGAGGTGTTAAAATAAATGAGATGTTCCCACTTCCTTACTATGTGCTGGCATTGTACATAAAGCTTTATGTGCAAATAGTATTGTTAAAACCATATAAACATGAGGAAGCTAAGGCCTGGAGAGGTTAACAGTCTTCCCAGGCCCGTGGCCAGAAGTAGCAGGGCCAGGATTTGGACTAAGAAATCTGACTCCAGAGGCCTAGCTCATAATCATCTGTCTCTATAGCCTCTCCTCTGTGTGAGCCAGCAACCCACCCACAGGGAAATGATGAATAGAATGCTTCTGGAATAGATGAGTTTTAGAAGTCATTGGTATTGGTAGATGGAGTCACTGAGGTATCCTAGGGTGAAGGAATGTTACTTAAATATGCAGAGATAAGAGTGGAAGAGAAGGTACTCAGAACTGTGCCAACAAGCAGTTTTGCTTGAACAGCTCAAGAGCATTAAAATTTAAGAGGATATACAATGAGGAGATAAGAATCATGTGTATAATCAACTCCAAATTTTTTCCTTAAAACAATAAATAGCAGTCTTTCATTTAATGACCCGTTATTTCATCTAATCACAATTTTTTCAAAGTAAGAAGTAAAAATTTTTTGTTGCCTTGTCAAATAGATGCCTAAAATAGCTCAATACAGTATCTTTTTTTTTTATTATTATTCTGTCCTACCTTATCAACTGTGTAAGTTGTAAAAAATAAATCTATTTTTCTTTTCAGTTCACCAGCCCACATTTCTAATTTACCTGTTGGCCCCCACCTCTCATGTCTAGCACCCCCTTTTAAATTTTTTTTTTTTTTTCAACGTTTATTTATTTTTGGGACAGAGAGAGACAGAGCGTGAACGGGGGAGGGGCAGAGAGAGAGGGAGACACAGAATCGGAAACAGGCTCCAGGCTCTGAGCCATCAGCCCAGAGCCTGACGCGGGGCTCAAACTCACGGACCGCGAGATCGTGACCTGGCTGAAGTCGGACGCTTAACCGACTGCGCCACCCAGGCGCCCCAAGCACCCCCTTTTAGTACAGCTGAGCAGAACCTTAACTTCACAATCCAGTGTCAACACATAGGGCACATGGTAAGAAATGTGGCCTTTTTCTATTGATAGGTTAGAGTGTCTACTGTTTTCTTGTATTTTCATTGATAACTTTAAGAGAAATCACAACAGTAGTCAAGCAAAAGGGAAGAAATAATGGGGAGTTTTTCACACAGACTCCTGGACAAAACAGATTGACAGGGAGTTCAACATTTGAGCAATAGTATATTTCTTTTATTTATAAGATTCATTATGGGGCACCTCAGTGGCTCAGTTGGTTAAGCGTCTAACTCTTGATTTCGCCTCCGGTGATGATTGCATGGTTCGTCAGTTTGAGCCCTGTGTTGGGCTCTGACAGCACGGAGCCTGCTTGGAATTCTCTGTCTCCCTCTCTCTCTCTTCCTCCCCTGCTTGCACACTGCACTCTCTCTCTCAAATAAATAAACTTTAAAAAAAGAGTTCATTGGGGAGCCTGGGTGGCTCAGTCGGTTAAGCACCAGGCTTCAGCTTAGGTCGTGATCTCACAGTTTGTGGGTTCGAGCCCCACATCAGGCTCTGAGCTGTCAGTACAGAGCCCGACGTGGAGCTCGAACCCGCAAACTATGACCTGAGCCGAAGTCGGACACTCAACTGACTGAGCCACACAGGCGCCCTTGGGCTACTTTTATGGAATAAAAACTACAGTTGATATTTTTCTTCCATTTAAGTGTAAATGAAGAAAAATTTCCCATTTGACTTTTGTAATGTTGCAAAATTAAAGAAGGTTATGCTGGAAGTTGAGCTCTGTAAACACCATGTTAGTAGGAGTTCAGTCTGATTCTGTCAGTCCAATGAAGGGGGGCTGTTTGGCCTCCAAACTTGAAACACCAGCATGACACAAGTCATTACAAGGAACTTGCGTTAGTTTCTCCCTGCACTACTTTCATAAAACTGGCCCTCGGTGTCATCTTGGCAGTGTTGCTGGGATCTCCTGAAGCCACTGACCCAGCACATTTTCACAAAGCCATTCCCTTGAAGCAGTTCAGAGGAACCAACTCTTGGCAGTCTAGATGCTCCCTGCATCCGGAAATTTCATAAATCAGAGTTAAAACAAAGAATGGTCTAAAATCTGTTGCTGATACAAAATCTGTAATGTAAATTGTCTGGATTAGGGGACCTCTCCTGTCTCCTGGGAGCTGCCTTTATAAATGCTATAATAAAGAATGTTTTCAGAAGCATGTGATGATAAAATGAAAGTAGTGAGAAAGATATTTGGAATCCAGTGGAGTCATCTGGTTGTAGAACTTCTTAATATTTTCTTGTATTGCTTCTCTACTCCCAAATTCACATAAGAACCTTTTTATTTATTTTTTTAAGAAAGTAGTTTGGTTTGGATCTTTTTTTCTTGTTATACTTCTGCAAGAAATATTTCTTTATGTTTGACTTCACGTCAATTTAATTCTGATTCTGAGGTTCCATACTTCTGGGCCAAGGCAGAATCACCCTCAGTCATTTCGCAGGCTCCTCAAGCTCTCAGGGTTCTGGTCTCCTCACAAAACTCCCAGACATCATTGGTGGGCCCCTGGCCATTATCATCAGTCCCCCCAGTAGTCATCAAGCCCGTCTTACCCAAGCCTTCATGACCTCAAGTCTAGAAATCCTGTTGCATCCAAGCCCCAGTGCTTGGGACACAGGACTTCTTCCAAGGTGGGATCCATTGTGCATGGCCTGTGGCCCCCTTGACCATTGCTTGCAGAGTCTTGTAAGCCAGTGCACGTGCTGGGGCTGGTGTGGCATGGGGTACCTGGGCAGTGCAGGGCTTCTGCACTTCTCATGGGACCCACAGATCTCTGTGTCTAGTCTCCACGCAGAAGCTCTTTTCCTTTCCCAGCAGCCCTCCAAGACAGCTGGCATAATCCTTCCAGCATCATATTTTTCAGGCCCTTCAGTCTGATAAACAGCAGAAAGAACCAATGGCTTCTGGCTGCTTTAGTTTTCAGCTCTATAAAAATCCTCTACTTGCTTAACATGAGGGGGGAAAGTTGTGTGAACATATTCAACTGAATATTTTAAAAGTAGTCTCACCAAAATATATGTACATATGATAGAAATATTTGGGTGTAGAGATGTACATTGTCTGCAGGGATCCTTAGGAAACTGTTGATGGTGATTGTCTCTGGGGAGTGAGACTGAGGGGCAAACCAAGGAGGCAGTTTATTTCTGTGGTTTACTACATGCTGTGGTATTGCTTGAGTTCTTTACATTGGTATGTGTTATTTTTATGATGATTAAAATTTAAGGTTATTAATTTGAAAAGATAGGAATTTTTTGTTTTAATTCACTAACCATGAAATACTTTCCTCAGCCCGAGCTTACCTGCCTTAGGTATTGTCCTGATTTTATGGCTCAGAATGCTGAGTTCAAGAATTAATTTGCCCAAGATTACACAATGGTGGGTCAGAATTGGAACCCACGGCTGTCTTACACTTACTTAGGGTCATGAACACCCTTCCCCCTCCTCCATGCTTCATCCTCCAGGGTCATTTCACTCCACTTAAGTTCTTTTCTTTCATTGCCCAAGTAATGGGCCTGACAGACCCCCTGCATCAGACCACACATCTATGCCAAATCCTTGAATACTAATAAATACTTGAAACCATGTTTCAAAATATACCATAAAATGAAAATAAGAATGACGCACAGTTCACCTCAAGTTCATACACAGCAGCAATGTACAGGTTAACAGTAAAACACAGGGGGTAAGTTTACCTTGAAATATTAGGCAAAGCCACTTCTAAAGGAATGAAATAAGAAACTTAGGAAAAATTAATTATACCTTGGAATATATGGTAACTGTGTATTTTATTTACCTTCAGGTCCCATAAAATATGACACTATTAGCAAATGGCAATTTATGGGTCGCTGCCTATGGTTTGGTTGTTTGTGTAAGGAAGCATTTACGGTTGTCGAAAATTAATAAGAATTTGTTTTTTCTAGGATGCTATAGTTATACACGAAGTCTACGAAGAAGGAGCAGCGGCCAGAGACGGAAGACTTTGGGCTGGTGACCAGATATTAGAGGTATAAGACTATGAGTTTCATTTAATACTAGCAAATACAGTTCCCTTACTGACCTTGATCCACAAAGTATTTATTCACAGTCTTGTACTCCATTTTATCCTCACTTATCTCTCTCCCATTTAGCAAAAGATGTACCTTACTCTTTTCTTTCTTTAATGTACATTGAATAACTACAATCAGAATCATGGCAGATCATCAATCTAAATCTGTGAAAACTTTTTTAAATTAAAGCAAAAGTACAACCTATAGTTCTATAATCTTAATATCAAATGAGAGTGCATAGTATTGCAACTTGACTTGTTTTGCCGCTTCACTAAACCTGTCTAAATTCTCCTAAAAACACAGACATATGCAAAAACATGGACAGCCGATGTTTTAAAGACTTCAGTGCTGTTTTAAGTATTGTTTTCTTACTCCTAATAAATCGTTAAGTAAAATGCTTTCCGCTTTTGTTTTCTAGTTGATGAAAATGTAGAATCTTCTCCCTTTAGGGAGAAATGAAATGTTTAGCTTGCCTCTTTCAAATGGGCTCTCAATTAGCAAAGGTGTGCCAAAGCAGGCAGTGTCTGAACTAAGGAACGGATGAATGGCAGGTCAATGCCAGGCATTCTGGTAGGTGGAACGAAAAAGCTTTTTTGATGATGTGAGACCTTTAGGCAACATTTATTTCTTTCATTGGATGAATTTAATTGAATAGTTAACATTTTATGGTGGGCATGTGCATTTTTGCTTTGCAACTTTAATACAGCACATTATGAATGACATCATAGAATTTTATTTCCCCTTTGGTGGTTCAAGTTTGCCTCCCAAGATGAAACCACAGATATAATTAAGGGCAGAAAATATAGGCAAGAAAGAGTTAAAGGAGAGGCCGGGCTCGCTGCAAATTAAATTCAGGGTTTCTCTGCAGACCTTTACTGTGCTTCATCATTGGATTAGGACATATTCCCAGTCCATTCATTAAGGTACAAGTGTATGAGGTTAGAAAAATAAGCGAGGCCTCTTTGGGATTTGGCTTGACTGCTTTTGCATATAACACCATTTTTTAGTGGTCAGGAGTTTCAAGGGTTTTTTTTTTTTCTCCCTAGGTTTTCTAATTAACTGGTGTTATCATAATTGGCTTTATAAGATGAATAGATTGAATATTCAAAAGAGTACAGATGCATACATGCCTAGATACATGATTTGTAAACCCATGGATTATTCTATAATGGTCACTTGAAACTAAATCTAATCTGTGCAGCATTTTGTTGATTATGGTGATGGTTGCATAGGTATAAATCACATAAATTAGCAATGTAAATTATATACTTTAAATATAGTTTATTTCATAACAGTTACACTTCAGTAAAAAAAAAAATCCCTTTTTAAGACTATTTGTATGGGATATCTCAGCTGTAGCTGTTCTCTTTCATATTCATGTACAAGTGAATACTCAGGATAGGTTAACATGAAGAAGGCAATTAAGTGGAAGGAGAAATTGAAAACTCAAACCATTTCCTGGCATCCAACTGAATTATATTACCCAATATGGATGGATGGTCTATACTCCTCATTAAAGATGACCAGGACATGGGGCACTTGGTGGCTCAGTCAGTTGAGCGTCCAACTTTGGCTCAGGTCATGATCTCACAGTTCGTGAGTTAGCCCACGTTGGGCTCTTGCTGACAGCTCAGAACCTGGAGCCTGCTTCAGATTCTGTGACTCCCTCTCTTTGCCTCTTCCCTGCTCATGCTCTGTCTCTCTTTCTCTCTCAAAAATAAATAAACATTAAAGATGACCAGGATATAATATAACAGTGTGTCAACTAAAACAAACATTGTTTTTTTATTGATCAGGAAATTTTACCCCATGCAGTATCTAGTCCACAAAAGCATGTCATGTGTTTAGTTAAGAAGTAGCTGTATGGGGGCACCTGGGTGGCTCAGTCAGTTAAGCAACCAACTTCGGCCCAAATCATGATCTCACAGTGTGTGGATTTGAGCCCTGCGTCGGACTCTATGCTGACAGCTAGGAGCCTGGAGCCTGCTTCGGATTCTGTGTATGTGTCTTTCTCTCTTCCCCTCCCCCGCTCACACTCTGTCTCTCTCCAAAATAAATAAACATTTAAAAAAAATTTTTTTAAAGAAGTAGCTGTTTGGTCAAGTAATATCATGTTTCCTTTGTAAGCAGCTTTAGACCCCACATTTGGACTTGTGCTAGTTGTGGTTGATGTGTACAGATGCATAATTAGGCATCATCAGCCTTTGGCCTGCAAGTTTGCCTTGAGAAAACAGGCCAGCTTTGGCAGTACATTTCAAGACCGTGAAACAAGATAACTGTGTATCAGCACTTTCCACACAATGGCCTTTCTACTTATGAGAGTCCTCTACATTGTCAGTGGCCTTTCATAATTTTAATTCTATCCTCTTGTTAAAATCAGGACAAGCCATGGGCCGCCTGACTGGCTCAGTCAGAAGAAAATGCCACTCTTGATCTTGGAGCCGTGGGTGCGAGCCCCACATTGAGCGTAGAGATTACTTTTTTAAAAATTGGGACAAGCCAGATTTTGCTGACAGAGATCTAATCCAGCAATTTTTTAGCATGGCAAGATTTATGATTCTATAATTAGCATGAACTGTCTTCTTTCCGATTCTCCTTTTAGGCTCAGTCCCTCATCTTTCCCTAATTCTACGTCCATTATCTTGTTCTATTTTTGTGCAAGTGGGAGCAGAAATAGTAAAGGGCTAATGCCTGGCTTTCCCTGTGGAATAATGTAGTGAGAAAGTGCTGCCTGGTTTGGTTATTCTTTCCCTCGAAAGCAGTGACTTCCCCACTTCCTCGTCCTCCCCGAGAGATGTGATACACTCCCCTTGATGACTGGGGCCTCCTATGGCTCTTTGTCTCAAGTAGGGAGCTCTGCAATTACCACCCCTACCCTTCTACAATCAATGCTCTAAATAATGCATATAGTGCTTCTGTAAGGCACTTAAGGTAATACATCACTCCACAATATTTGAGCTGCACAGCGATATTTCTCTTATGATTACTGGTGCATTTAGTGGTGCCTCTTGATAAGCAAAGGAGGAAATGAAAACTGTGAACTTGGAGCAGATGTCTTGGATTTGGGCAGTCATCTTCATGCTGGAATTTAGTATAAATTGCTTTTATTATATTAGTTTCATGACAGTGCTTTTTATGGAAAGTATAATTGCTAGGGCCTCTCACAAGCTATTTCAGAGGCTTAAGAGAACTCACCTGGAGTCCAGGGAAGTAACTATTTTGCATTTGAGTAACAGAAGTGGTCTGGTGTGCCATCTATTGGAATACAGGGAAATAATCACTTCGGACCACATTTTCTAGAGACATTGTTTTCCCCTTTGTCCTACGGATTTACCTCACAAACAATGACAGTGCACTCATGGGCCTAAAGTAACAGTGAATGCTGGCACTGACTGAAAACAGCCCTGACAGGGGTTACTTCAGCTTCTTATAAAATCCCAACTTCTAACTTACATTGCACTTAACTGTGTGCCAGGTCCTGTGCCGAATGCCTTAGAGGGTTTATTTCACTTAATCCTCACAACACTAAATAGATATTATGTCCAATTTATAAATGACCCAGTTGAAGCTTAGCTTGACTAATATACATAAGGTTTCACAACGTAAGTTAAAATCCATGCTCAAACTGAAGGGCGTCTGTATCTAAAACCCATACTTAACCACTGTTTGGGTTGGGGTTTTTTTGTTTTTGTTTTTGTTTTTGTTTTCATTATTATTATTTTTTAAAGTAAGCTCTATGCCCAGGGATTTGAACTCATGACCCTGAGATCAAGAGTCGCATGCTTGGGGGCACCTGGCTGGCTCCGTCGGAGGGGCGTGCAAGTTTTGATCTCAGGGTCGTGAGTTTGAGCCCCACGTTGGGTGTAAAGACTATTTAAATAAATAAAACTTTAAGAAAAAAAGAATCGCATGCTCTGCCAACTAGAGCCAGGTAGGCACCCCTTAACCACTGGGTATAGTTAATGTAATTGAGAACACAAACACAAGATATACCAGAAAAGAAAAAGCATCATGAAAATTAGGCTTTTAAACATTTTTTTCTGGCTTATAGAATCAGCTTTAAATAATTGCTCAAAACCCACCTTCTCCAAGAAAGCCTCATTGCTCTCTTCTCCCTCTCTGTAACCAATCTTTATGCCACAAGTCACTAGTCTTTGGAATGTTAGAATTGGAAAAGCCTGAGACCAATCCCTTATTGTACAGATGAAGGAATGGAAGACCAGAGATAAGCTTGACTTGCCCAGGACACACAGGGATGGACTAGAACATGGAGTAGAACCAGCATCTTGAGGGAAGTCTTCTATTCTGCCACCCCACCCGCCACTCCATCGCCCACTCCACTACTGGCCATGACCTGTGCCTACTCTTCCCTTTGTGTCTTTTCCTAGCTATGACCTTGAGGGAGTGACCTATGACTCCCTTCCTTTGAGTCCTTGGCCATTCTTCCCCTCAATTTCTCCTTTTTGTTAAATCCACTAATCCATAACAGTACTTGACTTTCTCTGTGGCAGGGGATCCAATAACTCATTCTAAGAGTACATTGAGGGGTGCCTGGGTGGCTCAGTTCGTTAAGCAACTGACTTCAGCTCAGGTCATGATCTCACGGTTCGTGAGTTTGAGCCCCGCGTCGGGCTCTGTGCTGACAGCTCGGAGCCTGGAGCCTGCTTCACATTCTGTGTCTCCCCCGTCTCTACACCTCCCCTGCTCGCGCTCTGTCTCTCTCTCTCTCAAAAAATAAATAAATGTTAAAAAAAAAATTTTTTTTTTCTTTAAATAAGAGTATGTTGAGGCAGAAGGGTATAGAGACTAAGGGTGGGAAGATAGTCTGGGTTCTATATATAGAACTATATATATATAGTGACTAGCTGTATAACCTGGTTCAAGTCTCTTTAGCCCCTCCGTGACTTACTTTCCTCATCTGTAAAATGGTAATGGTACCTATTTCAGAGAGTTAGTATAAGGATTAAATGAGTAAATATTTACAAAGGGCTAATACACAAGCACTACACAAACATTTCTTAAGTAAAACACAAGTAAGTCTGAAGAAATAAATAAGTAAACTGGCTATATGATCTCCATTTAGCAGACAAGGAAACAGAGGCTTATTGAGGGCCCACAACTTGTCCAAATTCACGTGATTTACCGGAAGCAGAGCCATGGCTTTACTCAGTGCCGTTTCCAGTACAGTTTGCTTCTAACTTATGGTCCTATTTGTGCTCTCTCAGATCCAGGTTCAGAAGGGTGTACTTCAAGGGGGTTTCGACACTGTCAGAAATACTGGTCTCTCATTTTTTTTCCGGCTTATTCTAAAGTAGTTGTGATGTTTGCAATTAAGAGTGAGGACGTCAAATTCAATAAGCAAACTGAGTCCTAAAATGCTGACCAACACTAATGTTCATTTCCCTTTTGACCTCAATTACACGAGGCCATTAGACCCTTCCACCCCTCCTGCTCCCTTTCACCCTCCCGCCTCCCCAACCATGTTGATTCCATAGTAGAGCTCACAGCTTTGCAAAACAGCATTCCTGTGTGTACTAAGCACCCTCTATGCTTTTGGGGTAGGAGAGGATAAGGGCTACCTCCTTTATACATGAAGCAGCTACTACTGCCAATAGTTGCTACCTGCCTTGGGAACGGCTAGAAATTTCCAGAGGTTTGTCACTGGTTGGATTAAAGAGCTCCAGACAGAACCGGCATGGAGGTCTCTGCTGTCAGCAGCCCATCTCAGATGTCCATTGTTCCAGGTTAATGGGATTGACCTGAGGAGCGCCAGCCATGAAGAAGCCATCACAGCCCTGAGGCAGACCCCGCAGAAGGTGCGGCTGGTGGTGTATAGAGATGAGGCACACTACAGGGATGAGGAGAACTTGGAGATTTTCCCAGTGGATCTGCAGAAAAAGGCCGGCCGAGGACTGGGTCTGAGTATTGTTGGGAAACGGTAAGGAAATACTATGCAAGTTAGGACAGATTGGCCTTTCCCTTCAGAGCCCTAGGGAGCCTACAAACACTGAAAGGTAAAGTCTCGTGTAAACTAACAGTATGGCTTCTAAATTCAACCTATCTATAAATATTAGAATGACATTGGTAATATCTCTGAGCAAGATCTTACCAAAAAAAAAAAAAAAAAAAAAAAAAATGTGTCATATGAAGATGGAACCTGAAGCCTAGTCAACTGAGACTATATTTGTTCCCATATAGAATAAGAAGAGACTCGGGACGCCTGGGTGGCTCAGTCGGTTAAGCGGCCGACTTCGGCTCAGGTCATGATCTCGGGGTCCGTGAGTTCAAGCCCCGCGTCGGGCTCTGTGCTGACAGTTCAGAGCCTGGAGCCTGTTTCAGATTCTGTGTCTCCCTCTCTCTGACCCTCCCCTGTTCATGCTCTGTCTCTCCCTGTCTCAAAAATAAATAAAACGTTAAAAAAAATTTTTTTAATAAATAAATAAATAAATAAATAAATAAGAGACTCAAAAGGGTTTTTATACCTTGGAGTCACTTAGATCTGAGGCTTTACCCAAGAAATAGCTAATATCAAGAGATAGGTTTATACAGAGTTGGGTTAAGAAAATTCCAGAGTACCTGGGTGGCTCAGTCGGTTAAGCATCTGGCTTTGGCTCAGGTCATGATCCCACGGTTCGTGGGTTCAAACCCCACATCGGGCTTTGCACTGACAGTGTAGAGCCTGCTTGGGATTCTCTCTCCCTCCCTCTCTCTGCCTCTCCCCTGCTTGTGCTCTCTCTCAGTGAATAAATAAACAATTTTTAAAAAGAGAAAGAAAATTCCTCTGCCATGAGTACCATGTTAATCTTATGCTCTTAACTACATCTAGCTGGTGAGTTTCAAAAACTAGCTGAATAAGTGTAGTTGAGAGACAAATTCTTTATGACAGTAGTTTTCATTAAGAAAGATGTCCCCAAAAGGTAACTTGCACCAAAAATGTAGGTAGATCCTGGTGGCTAGGCTTTTCATTTGAAGTCTGTGCCGCTTACCCATATGATAGGCATTATAGAATAATATCAATAGATTAGAGAAGTCATATCTTGCAACTGCAATTCCAGCTTCCATGGTTTACTGGTTTTAGTTATTTGGTGTGTTTTTATCCCAGCAGGGCTGCAAGATTGTCAGGTGACGCCCCAATATGGCCTTAAATGGTTATCAACCATCATCTTAGGGAGCATTGAAATGGTTTTATATATTACATCCTTTGCCTTCAAAGACTTCTGACGGCTAGCCCAGTGTTTTTTTCCAGCAGTCCAAGCTGTTACTAAAATAAAATATTAGAGAGTTTTTGAGAGCACTGATTTTGTGCCAGGTACTGTGCTGTCCTGATCTCATTCTTCAGCACTGTTAAATCGTCACTCAGAAAACGCATTACAAATCAAAAAAGTTGAGACTCATATTTCTAAACAAACTCCCTGCATACCTGGTGCAGAGCACCTGACAGAGCCCACGTTGAAGTTTGCTTACCTGTGACACATGTATATGCCTGGCGAGATTCCACAGAGACTAATGGTTTTTACTTTATTGCCTCATAGTGGATTGATAAAACCATCTTCATACAACACTAGTATTTCAGATTGGGTTTGTAAGGAACATTCACGTTCCTTAGCCCAAAATGTTCCATTGTAAAGGATCAGGTGTATACGCTTTCACAATGTACAATTCTTTGACTTAGCAATTCCACAACTAGAAATGTATCCTAACAGTATTCTTGCAGATATGTTCCCCATTGCACATTGTTTGCAACAGCTAGAGACTGACAATAACCTCTATATTTTATCTATATATTTTACTCATCATGAAAGTAAAGAACCTCTGTAGAATCGAATACAGCCTTAAAAAACAATGAGGAAGCCCCAGGTGCTTTCTCTACTTTTTAACCTCTTGAATTTGAGACATACAAATTTATTTACTCCTCAAATAAATAATTATAATTAAAACCTTAGTAACAACAGGAAAAGGAAGAGTGATAAAACTAGAAATTGATCAGATACTAGTAAGTGAGCTAATCTATAAGGAAATAACTTGTACATTTTAAGGGGCGCCTGGGTGACTCAGTCAGTTAAACGTCCAACTTCGGCTAAGGTCATGACCTCGTTGTCCGTGAGTTCATGCCCCACGTTGGGCTCTGGGCTGACAGTGTGGAGCCTGGAGCCTGCAGCCTGCTTCATATTCTATATCTCCCTCTCTCTCTGCCCCTCCCCTTCTTGCTCTCTCTAAGAAGTAAACATTTAAAAAAATTTTTTTAAGAGTACTATGCTTTTTAAAGTGAATTTCCATTTCATTTCACTAAGATTATCCTCTTGCAGAAATAATGCCCTTGGGCCAATGAAAATGAATTTTACAGTAGGCAGCACAAATAGATATAAACTATTTAAAAGGCAAGCACTCTGAGGTTTATCATTTGGGAAGTTAGTGGATATAATTGGATGAGATGGCTTTGTAGGACCATTCTTCCAAGCATTAGGATTTAGTGAAACTGTGTAGAATGTCAGTAATCTCAGATTTACTAAAGAAATACTAAATTGTGCCATTACCCACTGCTCTATGGTATTCACAGAAATGGAAGTGGAGTGTTTATTTCTGACATCGTGAAAGGTGGAGCTGCAGACCTTGATAGGAGATTGATTCAGGGAGATCAGATCTTATCTGTGAATGGGGAGGACATGAGAAATGCCTCACAGGAGACGGTGGCCACTGTCCTCAAGGTGAGTCCCCAGGCTGCTTTTTGCCTGGCTGGTGTAACTAAAGTCTGGGGACCAGGGCGGGGGACTGTTCTAAACTGGCTTGGTTATAAAATGGGTTAGACTTTCTGCTAATTCGAGTTTTAACTAGAGATCTAAACTCTGATTACTTTAACCCATCATAAACAGCTTTACAAGAAAGCTGCTATAATGACTAACAGGATTGAGGAGTAACCTCTTTGGGGATTTCTAAGCTAGTTTTTATACCTGTGAGAATCCAAGTATCCACAATTATCCTCAAGTACGTTAGATGGTATAAGTTCTCCTGGAATCACAAAATTCCTCCTTCTCTCTCTAACGCTGTATTGTCGTGAATTTACCCAATCTAGCTTTTACTGCTTGAGGGACCACTAAAGATTATCTAGACCAAGTCCTGTGATTCACAAAGAAAGTTTGAAAAAGTAGAGCAGCACGCCCAAGATGACAAGGGTCTGCTTGAGTGGTTTTCTCACCACGAGAGCTATTCCTCACTGAAGTCATAGGGAGGCAAAGGTTCAGAGTTCCTTCCCTTCCAAGTGTCTCTGCAACATGGACCCTACCTCCTTTGGAGGAAACGGATTAAAAAAAGTTCCTGTAACTTTGCATTCAATTATAACCAGCTTCGTCTTATGCTGTTTCACAAATAGCTGTGGAAGCTTTTGCAAAGACAAAAGAATTCTGTTTATTGCAAGATCCTGATTTTCTAGTGTAGTCAACTCTCGGTTGTGACTTAGGAGAGAAGTTATTTGTAGATTATCTCCATGTCTGATTTCTCAGTCTTCCCTTCACCCACTTTTCCTTAATTATGTCACTGCTCGTGAATACTTTCATCAGAAGGGAAAAGGAAAAGAGGTGAATTGAAGTGTAATCCTCTTACCATGTTTTAAAAAGTCATGAAGTCATGACGTGAATACCGCTGAGTTGGTGAATTTCTGTTGTTTTGTGTGATTTTTTGAGGACTGAATTTCCTTTTTGCCTGTTGCTTTTGTCACCCGTTTACAATTGTTGGCTACAGAGATGAGCGGAGACCCTGCCATGATAATTTTAGAGTATAAATGCTGGTTTTCACCTCTTTTCTTGTCTTTCCAAGTGTGCACAGGGGCTGGTGCAGCTAGAGATTGGAAGACTCCGTGCTGGTTACTGGACCTCCTCAAGGAAGACGTCACAGAACAGTCAGGTTGTTGATGGCTTCCCATCACACTGACTCACCTGTCCCCACTGAGAGAAAGTCCCCATTTCATAAGTGGTTGTTTGGAAATAATGTATAATATACAGCATATTCACAATACCAAGTTCAGTGCATTTTAATGTGTTTGAAATAAAAATGAAAGGTGGGATGGAAATTCATTAATCCCTAGATTTTTCTCTCCTTTATTGCCTGCCAGTGTTTTCTTAGAACTACTTTTGTTGTCCACTATTAGTTCTGTATTGCCTATGCATGCATGTACACAGCTGTGTTTATTTAAAAAAAAAAAAAAGAAAGAAAGAAGCAACATCTGGTGGCAATTTGACCCTCATTAGCACAACATTGTTCTATTCGTTCAATTAAATATTGCTATAAAGTTAACTTGTGAATAGCCACTCACACATGCTGAGGGCAATTAATGGTATATTCCTAAGAGAGTGAAGTGTGGGGGGTTATCCTATGAGAGGGAGGCCTTAGTGGGTGACATTTTGTAGGTTAGCAAACATCTTATGTTTATTTGCAAGGCTGATGTAAGTGCCACTTTTTTTTTTTTAACAAAGTATATTTCAAAGTTTTGGGGTTTTTTTATTTTGTTTTAATTATAATGGCTGAAAAATCAAGATAGTAGACTATATGTTTAGTCCCATTTGGTACATAATGAAACTGTAGAAACCTGCCTGTGACCTCCATTCCCCTTTGTGGGTTATAGATGGGCCTTTGTTTTCAGGTTAAAAGCATGAGTTTTGGTCCTCTCCCTGGTTGCCATAGGCTTAAAGCATCTCCAAGGCCTTTGTTCAGAAGTCATTCTGAGTTTGTGGTTTGCATACAGGAATGCTTCTGGAATGCTACAAACTGCCTCTTTTGCTTCATTGGTATTAGAAAATAGGTGAAAAAAAATACCATTGTTCGGATAGGATCACAGACTAGGTATCTTGTCTTAGAGAATCTTGAAAGCAGTGAAACCCAATAAACATCATGGTAAATTTAGAATATTTTATCTCTTTCATTTCTGGTCTACACAATGAGCAGCAAATATCATGTGTACTAAGACACAGCGCTGCCATGGGACTCCAGGAGTAAATGGTTGATAATGATTCTAACCAGACTTGTATCAACAGTGGGAACCTCAGATGCAAAATAGTTGTCTCAGCTTCTTCCTTAGTGGAAGATTCACTTGTTGAGTGATTTCACTAATGGCTAATTTCACTAATCTAACAGGAGGTTAGATTATCCCTGAACAATCCTAGGGATAAAATTTTTCCTCTTTGGAGAATATGGGAAGGCGCCACAAAGGAGGCCCCTTTGGGTCTCACTGCAAAAGGAATTTGATAGGTTGAAAAGAGGGAGAAGGCATCCCAGACAGATGGACTAGCATATACAAAAGCACAAAGGGATACAAAGGATTCCAGTGTTTTAAGAAAAGTTTGAATTGAAGGACGAGGTAGTAAGTAGAACTAGATTTCTGCCCTTGAGGAACATGTATAATAAGAATGTCTTGGGTGATTAATAAAGTTCACACTCAGGTTAAATGCAGAGCTAACAAATTTAGAAGGTCTATTATTAAATGTCAATAAAACCATCATCACCATTTATCTGATATATAAATGTGAGCTGTTCTATTTTGTAAACCTGAGACAAAGTATCAAAGTGCCTTACCTTCCTACACAGAATTTTTACTTCAGGGGGTAGAAGTCTGACTCAGTTTTAAGAAAAACAGTAAATATGTTGTATCCTTACTTTGTCCTTAAAATTTGGCTGAGATTATATGAGAGGCAGCAGTCATATTTGGCTAATTGAAAGAAGGCTTATAGCTGGCTGTAGAAAGGATATGTTCTCCATGATCGTGAATTGAAGACCAGCCCATGACCCAGCTGGAGAAAAAAAAGGACCCTATTCCCAAACCTATTTAAAAACAGTCAGGACCCCCTAGGGGCACAGATTTCTTTCTGGGCAATTACAAGATGGGGAGATAAATGTCTTCTTTTGAAAGCCAAGGAGAATTATAATTCACTGACTTGGCCTAGAGAAAGTAGGTTCATTAAGAGAGATCTTCTATCTTTGGGGGCTACCAAGCCTCTTTTATTTATTTACTTTCTTTATTTTAAGAATAGTATAGAAATTAGCTGTGAGATAGCTCAGAGGAAATAAGACTTGATTAATAATCCATAATTCACAAGTCATTTTTTTTAATGTTTATTTTTGAGAGAGCGTGAATGTGAGAGGGGCAGAGAGAGAGAGAGAGAGAATACCAAGCAGGCTCCATGCCACCAGCACAGAGTCCAATCCGGGGCCCATTCTCACAAACTGTGAGATCATGACCTAAGCCAAAATCAAGAGTCAGATGCTCAACGGACTAGGCTACCCAGGCACCCAAGCTCCTTTTTTTAAAATAATGTCTTTCCCCAGCAACCAGAAGAGAGTATCTTTACTCTGTAGTGCAAACTGTGTAATGGGAAAACACTTGAGAAATCTTTTCCTCAGGTAACTGAGGGAGTACTGCCAGGCACAGTTCATATTTATAAAGGCCTTGGCAAACACATTGCTCTAAGATTTTTTAGGCAAAAGTTGTAATATTCTGTACTTCCTTAAATCTGAGTATTAGAGCACTATTGATTTAAATCCTTTCAGGAAAAATATAAAAAACACTCCTTTAAATATACATATCCATTGTGAAGTATATTGATGTCTATAACTTACTTTGAAATGAATTTTTAAAAATTGATGAATAGGGGTGCCTGGGTAGATCAGTTGGTTGAGCATCTGACTTTTGATTTTGGCTTAGGTCGTGATTTCAGGGTGTGAGATCAAGCCCTGCCTTGGGCTCCTTGCTGAGTATGGGGCCTGCTTAAGATTCTCTCTCTCTCTCTCTCTCTCTCTCTCTCTCTCTCTCTCTCTGCCTCTCTCCCCCACTGATAGTCTGTCTCTCTAAATAAATAAAAATACACTTTAAAAAATTAAATTGGAGCACGTGGGTAGTTCAGTCAGTTAAGCTACTGCTCAGGTCATGATCTCACGATTAGTGAGTTTGAGCCCCAAATCGGGCCCCATGCTGGCAATGTGAGCCTGATTTGAAAATAATTTTCAAAGTTGATGAACAGATAATGGATATGTGATAAAGAAAATATAGCAAAATATTGATTGTGGAATCTTAAGTGGCATGCATATGAATGTCTACTGTATAATTCATCTTTTCTGTATTTTTTTTAAGTTTATTTTGAGAGAGAACGTGTGCACATGTGCATGCATGAGTGGGGGAGGGGCAGAGAGAGAGAATCCCAAGCAGGCTTCCCCCGACAAGGGGCTCAATCTCACAGTTGTGAGATCATGAACTGAGCTGAAATCCAGAGTAGGACACATAACCAACTGAGCCACCCAGATGCCCTTGTAAATTTTCATATTTAAAGAATGTTAAAATGTTAAACAACTTGCATGATGGAACTAGGGAAATGGATCAAATTATAATTTATCATAATTTTGAGGCATAACCTTGAAAATTTGGTAGAAAACCTTCTGTACTCTTGGTTGCATTATTTTCTTTTTACTTTTTTCTTTGGTTATATTATTTTCTGCAAGGGTCCTCCACTGTGTACATGACTCTCTTTGAGTAGCCACTAACCATATGTTACAATACATTGTAGACCTCAAATATTTATTTAAATGAATAAAAGGACAGTAATGGAAGTATAACAGATTGGGCTGGATTACTACTGACTCCAGGAAAATCTTTGAGAAAAAAATTTAACCCCCTCACAAAACAACATATCTCCTTGATATTTGCTGCTTTCTCCTTCAACTGAGGAGAAAATGTCTGTTAAGATTTTATTATAGTTGTTTTATATAAACATGTATACATGATTATATGATTATATAGCTAGCATCATATATATATGTTTATATATAATCATATATATGTGATGCTATATAATCATATATATAAACACTATGTAACAGCCTAGGAAAATGTTTCTGATTTCATGTGGAGCAAGAAAAGCTTAAATTATCACAAGTTTTCGGGGCAACTGGGTGGCTCATGCTCTCTTTCTCTCTCTCTCTCTCAAAATAAATAAACTTTTAAAAATTATTACACGTTTCCTATCCTGATGATTGAAACCATACGTAAAAGCACAAATGAAAGGGGAATGCAATGGAAAAACGTCAGATGAAATTGGGTTGTGTGGTAAGAGAATGCGTAGGGCTAACTTCTGTTTTCCCTTTTAGCCTCTCTAGAATTTTCTATGATATGGTTATGGTTACTTCAGTAATTAAAGTACTAAGTCTGAATTTTTAAGAGCAAGCCCGTGTCTCCACGCAGCTGACTACCGGCTTTTCTTTCCAGGGCAGCCAACACAGTGCACAGAACAGCTTCCACCCCGCCCTCGCTCCTGTCATCGCCAGCCTGCAAAGCCTGGTCGGCACAAAAAGAGCTACAGACCCTTCCCCCAAAAGTTCAGGTATTACTTGGACACACCTCGAGGAAAGACATCCCACTGCCCAACTTTTTTAATATTAATATTTTTTAAAAAACAATCTCTTTGGGGCACCCGGGTGGCTTAGTCAGCTGGGCGGCTGACTTTGGCTCAGGTCATGATCTCATGGTTCATGGGTTCGAGCCCCGCATCGGGCTCTGTGCTGACGGCTCGGAGCCTGGAGCCTGCTTCAGAATCTGTGACTTTCCCTCTCTCTCTGTCCCCTTCCCAGCTCATGCTCTGTCTCTCAAAAAATAAATAAACGTTTAAAAAAAAAATTTTTTTTAAACAATCTCTTCACCTTCCTTCAGTTAAGATACTAAGTTTAAATCTTTGAACGTGTGCACATAAGCCCCAGCCTTTATGAAAAGCCAGTTCTAAAGAAAGTAAACCCATAGAGATTCATTTTGGGAATTTTGCCTTAAATTTTACACAAATCACGTGGCAGGAAAGCGGAAATCTAAAGTGCTTCATAAAGTGGGGGGCCTGGCTGGCTCAGTTGGAGGAGCACGCGACTCTTGATCTCGGGGTTGTGAGTTCAAATCCCACATCGGGTGTAGGCACTTCATAAAGTAAAACCATTTCCAAAGAGAAAAATTTGAAATTACAGGTCACTTGAGGAAAGTTACACATGCATATGCCATTGCAAGTGGAGCAGAGCAGGGCGTATTTTTAAGTCTTTCCTTGAGTAGAGGGTTATCTTTGATTAAGGCAGAAAAATGTACAGTAAAACACTAATAGCTCACCCCCCTCAAGCCGTTTAATCACCATATTCCAGGCAGCTGCTGGTACAGCCCATCAGCTTTTGTCAGACCAAATGATGATGACCACATCCATGTCAAACAGAGGGCTTCTTCAAAGTAGCCCCTAATCAATAGTTGCCATTTTGGATTTGGGGAAAGTATGTCATGCCATTAGCTCCAGTATTCTCTCTTGAAAGGCCTAGAAAATGACACCATTTTTATGGGATAATATGAAATACTATGTTGTCTCTTAATTTTAAAAAGTTAATTGTGTTGCTTTTTTATTTATAGGCGCAGATACAGGACCAAGGACCGTTGAAATAATCAGGGTAAGTCAATTTTGCTATTTTTCTGATCTTTGTTGATTTGCATAAAATGTATATTTTCTCCTTATTATATAATTTGTTGGATTGTTACTGTCCTCTTTTAAGTTTCACTGAAGTAATCAAATGGCCTATCTTTCATAAATAGAAAAATCAGTAAAGCCGCATGGTGACCACTGTGAATCTTTGGGTACATCCCATCCACTATGTTTTGTGCATGTGTTTAAGTTTTACAAAACAACAACAACAACAAAATGATATCATATGGATATACTCTTGAGGCTTATCTTTTTCACTTTTATATTTTGAGAGAGAGAAAGCTAGCAGGGGAGGGGCAGAGAGAGAATTTTAAGCAGGCTCCACAACCAGCATGGAGCCCAGTGCAGAGCTCAGTCCCACCACTGTGAGACCATGACCTCAGCTGAAATCAAGAGTTGGATGTTCAACCGACTGAGCTACCCAGGCACCTCATTGTCTTTTTCACTTTAAAGCATGAACTTTTAGTCATGCTTGTATTTGTTGACGATTTCTATTGGTTTTATAGTATCCCATCATATCATGTGCTATAATTTTTTTAATCAGCTTCCTCCTACTAAACAATTAGCACATTTCTCAACTTTTGCTCTTTTATAACAACATCTTTGTATTTCTTTTTTGTCCATATCATGAGTGATTTCTTCAGGATTTGTTCCTAAAATGAAATTGGTTTTTGTTTGTTTACAAAAAAAATTTTTTTTTAATCTTTAAGTAATCTCTAACTCAGTGTGGGCTTTGAACTTACAACCCCAAGATCAAGGGTCACGTGCTCTATAGATTGGGCTACCCAGGTACCTCTAGAAATGAAATTGTTGAGTCAAGAGCCACACTTGTTATTTAAAGGCTTCTATACGTGTTACTAAATTCCCTTCCCCAAAAGATTGTATAATATGTATTTCATAAAATTGTCATATCCTGATGTTCAAACTCCTGTGTGATATCCAGAATATTGGAAAGTACTTTCACTTTGATCACTTTTAAACATTAAATTTGGGGACACCTGAGTGGCTCATTCAGCTCAGCCCAACTCTTGATTTTGGCTCGGGTCATGATCATGGTAGTGAGATCAAGCCTCACACTGGGCTCGCACTGGTCATAAGGCTGCTTAGGATTCTCCCTCTCTTTCTCTCTCTCTGCCCCTCCCCTGCTCGCATGCACGTTCCCTCTATCTCTGTCTCTAAACATTACATTTGGGATTCAAGAAGTATGACCTTGCTATAACCATGGTTCAACTGCAGTGAAGAGATATCCAGCATAGCTTAGCTCTCTGGAGTCAATCATAGCTGTGTTTGAAGGCATTCTACCGTTTATTAGCTCTATAACCTTTGGCAAGTTACTGACTTCAGGTTTTCTTATCTGTAAACTGGGGATGATAACACCTCACAAAGTAAATCTTGTGTGGATTAAATGCGGTCATGCAAATGGTGTGCCTGGCATTGTACCTAGTACATCATAAATGTCCAGGAAGTGACATCCATTATTAGTGATTACAACTTTAGCTAAATCTGTTTTATTTGTTCCTAGTGTCTTTCCACCAGAGTGGCAACTCAGATGTTCCTATGGGACATAGGGACATATGGACATAACTTTCCTATAGGAAAGTTAAATCTACCAACATATACATAATTATGGACAAATTAAGGAAGCATTATAATGGATTCGAACAAAGCCAAGTTATTCCATAAATTTCTCCTCATTCCAAGATTTATAAAATATCATTTTATGCTTCCTTAGTTGTTTCAGCCAGTTGGTTTTTTTTACAGGCTTTTATAAAACAGCCTGCTCCTACCAACTGTATTCTCCCACAAATGGTCCAAGCAGAAACTTTGCGATGAAATGCATCTTGCCATTTTGCATGCAGGGCTTTACTATTGATGCATTCAGGAAATAAAAGCTAGACACAAACGTGCTGGAAAACAGGGTATAAATTACCTGTGACTAGAGAGGTCAGCATCACCATTCTTCTTTTATAGACATGATGTGGCAGCATTCGTAGTGTTATTAATAATAAAGAATGAGTCCTCACACTTATGTGACATGAGTTTTTTTTTTTTTTTTTTTTTTTTTTTTTTTTTTTTTTTTTTTTTTAAGTTTATTTAGAGAGGGAAAGAGAGAGCACATGCAGGGGAGCGGCAGAGAGAGAAACACAGTGCAGTCTGTGTTGTCAGCACAGAGCCCAACATGGGGCTGGATCTCATGAATCGGATGATCATGACCTGAACTGAGATCAAGAGTCTGACACTGACAGGACTGAGCCACCCAGGTGCCCCCGTGACATGAGTTTTTAAAGTTCTTTCAGGGGCACCTGGGTGGCTTAGTCGGGTAAGCATCGGACTCTTGATCTCGACTCAGGTCATGATCTCAAAGTTCGTGAAAATGAGCCCTACATCAAGTCGGGCTTTGCACTGACAGTGTAGAGCTGGCCTGAGATTCTTTCTCTCTCTCACTCTCACTCTCTGCCCTTCCCCCACTCACATGGCTGCTCGTGCATGCACTCTCTCTCAAAATTAAAAAAAAAAAATTTAAATAAAGTTCTTTCATACATGGTTTTTCTTGTTGTTCTTTTCCCTTTTTCCAACTTTATGAGGTAAAATTGAAGCTCACTAAGTGGTATATATTTTTAAATGATCAATTAAAACTGTAGAAACCCTGCTACCATATAGGTCCCTTTTCCACAACCATACCACTAACATTTATGCCATAGATGTCATATGTTTACATTTAGATGAATTGAGAACCCCACCAAACAATGTTATAATTTTTACTTTCAACTGTTCTACATATTTTAAAGCCCTTAAAAAAATTGGTCTCATAGAAAATGGTTCTTTGCAGACTGAGTAATTTAGGATTTTACCCTGGATCTCATAAACGTTACGCTGTACAGACTCTGAAGAGTGTTGATATTTATGCTTTAGCAGACGATCAACCCATTCCAGCTCAGAATGTGAGTGATGGTTGACATCCCAGTTCGGTTCCGTGTCGGTCTGTCCTGCACGTGTGAAGCTTAGAATGGAGCCTGAGAAGTCTGTGTGATCCCTCTTATTGGATGAGATCCCTCTCTCAGGCTCTCTCTACTCTAGTCTTCTTCCCTTATTCTCCAGCCACCAGGCACTCCCTTGCCTGGTTTCTCTGGCTCTGGTGGCCAGAAGAGGTAAAATGGGGCAAGATAGGTGTTAATATCAGAGAGAGTGACTCCACCTTTACAGCTCCTTGACTGGGGCTCGCCCTCAGGACCAAGCTGCCAGGAAAACAGCTGAGAAATCCACCCCTTACGTTTTTTCTCCAAGTTTTGGCCCTCCACCACAATTTGTTTGAGTTTCTTTACTTTTCAGAAACCTCAGGTAGTTGTTTCTGTGTTTGATAGAGTTGTTCACTGTAATGAGTCAGCAGGAGAGGGATGCCACGGCCGTGCAACGCGACCAGGCTGAAACTGGAACTCATCATTCATTCTTTGAGTGATTTTTAAAATAGTAACCCTGTGGGCGCCTGGGTGGCTCAGTCGGTTGAGCGTCCGACTTCGGCTCAGGTCATGATCTCACAGTCTGTGAGTTCGAGTCCCACATCGGGCTCTGTGCTGACAGCTCGGAGTCTGGAGCCTGTTTCAGATTCTGTGTCTCCCTCTTTCTCTGAACCTCCCCCATTCATGCTCTCTCTCTCTGTCTCAAAAATCAATAAAGGTTAAAAAAAAAATTAAAAAAAAAAAATAGTAACCCTGTGCAGCAAATATGGGGAAGGCCTGGAATGCAGCCAGGATCCCTTCACCGGGGTCCGCGTGAACCAGGCTGCCTCACCCAGTGATCCTAGCGAACACTTTCAGTCACATCTTACTTCTCTCCGCAAACTCGGCTGTCCCTGCAGCGGGTGTCCTCTCAGATCCTTTATTGTGATGCAGCCATGCAGCTCTTTGAGAGCCAAGTGTGTTTGTTCACACCCAGAAGAGCATGATATGTGTGGCAGTTTAATCATAAACACCATATGAGATCATACTTGCCAAGTCTGCATCAAAATTGGCCACTAAACTGAGCAGTAACATAGGGTTGTTTTGTATTTTTTTGTTGTTTGTGCTCCTACCGTTGCCTTTTACCGAGCCTTTTCTGTAGGCCAAGACTACACTATATCATCTCCTGTAATCCTCAAACCAACATATAAAGACAGAAGCTCTAAGAGCTTAAGGAACTGCATTGAGATCCCTCCCCCCAAGCTAAGTAAGTGCTAGAACTGAAACACAGGTGTTTCGGACTCCAAAGGCACTGCGTTTAACTCCTGTGTTTCCCTGGCTTCCTGCAGCACGGACGGATTTTGTGCAACAGCTATCTGGGGGCAACCAGGTTGTGGGGTTTTCTTATTAAGTATAGGAACATGGTGTTGTCCTTCTTTTTTAGGAGCTCAGCGATGCCCTTGGAATCAGTATTGCTGGAGGAAAAGGAAGTCCCTTAGGAGATATCCCAATATTTATTGCCATGATTCAGGCCAGTGGTGTGGCTGCACGTACACAGAAGCTTAAGGTAAACAAAAGGGGAATGGTGAAGTGCTAACAGCATGTGGTAGGAGACGAAGGTGCAGCCATGGGCACTTTGTTTAAAGTTCGAATTCCAACAGAGACCCACACAGAGGGCAAAATGCATTGGAGAAAGTTTACACCTAAAATTCATTAAGCCCCTGGGCATATAAAAATATTATTGTTCGTATCAAAGCTTCTTGATGAAAGAAGAAATTGCAGCCCTTTTTCAGAGCCTCCGATACCATTTTTAGCACTCCATTCCACCCAAAATTAATTTTCCCCCGAGAGATATTTGACCTGAGAATCGTCCTTCAACCAGAATTAATGCTCTTATGTTTCCCCCCCCCCCCATTGCCCCTCCATCTTAACTTAGGTAGAAAAATAAAGGAGAAAATATCTGGCCTCCTCATTAGAGCTTTACTGAACAGTTAATTTGTACACCCCACTATTACTGATGAGTGGACGTATACAACACCACCATTGCCAAAATACAAAAGTGGCCTGCCGTGCCTTCTCAGGATCAAATCTGGCCCCCTTCTTGTTTCTCTGATTGGTCTGTATTTGGGGAAAGCCATAAAAATTCCTCATGTTTCTGGAACATGCATACACAGTAGAAACATGGAACCTTCACAATAGCCACAAATGGGAAATATGACTTACAAAGAATTTTAAGCATTCTTCTCAAATTTAATTTTTCTTAATGATAGTGATTTTCTCCCACTTTTGTACTTCCAGGTTGGAGATCGGATTGTCAGCATTAATGGGCAACCTTTGGATGGGCTGTCTCACGCAGATGTGGTTAATCTGCTGAAGAACGCCTACGGGCGCATTATCCTGCAGGTATTGCGATCAATGGAGCACGCAGCTGCATGAGGCAGATAAGTGGCGTGCAAAAAAAGATTGAGCGTCACTGGCAGTAGGCATCACCGCCCAGCAGGGTGCTTGCTGATGTGAATTATGAAGGTTGAGAGCAAGAAATTATTATTTTTATTCAGAAATTCTTTAATGCCACCCATACAGGCAGTGAGCATGATTATATGAAAGCATAACAAGGGGAGAAAAATTACTCTTTGCTTCACATGATAAATCAACAAGGCTTTTAGCTTCCAGCGTTCTTTTGTAAATCAAAGTTTGTGAGGAATGGGAAATGATTTCTTTTCTTATGCCCAAAAACTGTTACCCAACTGCCCAAGCACTGTTTCCTCCACTCCTTTTTTAAAGGAAAGAAAAAATACAATGCTCTTTTTCCCTTAGCATAAATGATTGCCAACACGGTTAAATTCCCACTGTATGGTTGTCATCAACTAAGGCAGACAATTATTTATCAACTGTGGTCCCCCAGAGTCCCGTCCAGATGCACAAAGAAATATACCAGGAAGTAAGAAAGAGGTATGCTGTTAATTACCTCTCCTATTTCAGCACCTCACATGTCTCTGAGATTGATATGGTGCACTGAGAGGCAGGATACTGCAGTGAGTTTTGCTAATGAATTTCCCCCAAAACGTATGATTAAAATCACCACACTTCTGCAGGTAGTAGTGAACGGTTTACAGGTAAAAAGAATAAAACCCACCATTTAGCACCTTAGAGAGAGGGCTAGCCAGCCCCTCAGATCATTCTAGCCTTAAAATAATAATTTCAAGGGGTGCCTGGCTGGCACAGTCGGTTAAGCATCAGACTTCAGCTCAGGTCATGATCTCACA